TCTAATAATAAAAAAAACCTTTAACTACTAATGTCAAAATACAAAAAAAAACACTATGTTTATATTTTATAAACAATTGAAATAAATTCTTTAATCAACTACTTTTAATCTTTAGAACAAAGTTAAGACGTTCTTTAACCAAAAGTCGACTCGTACTTACACATTAAACTTTAAATCATACCTAACTACACCAACTATAATAGTCATCTTTATAATAATTTTTATTTTTATAGCACTTTTTACAATTTTTATTATAAATAAAAAGTATTAGATAAAAAAAACTATTACACAAACATATAAATCCCACAAAAAAAAACAAAATTATGAACAAATCTCAAGTTCATTGTGAGTAATTAAAAACTAAAACTACCGCGACAACTAGTTTTAATTACTAAACAGAAACTTAAAGGAATCTACCAAAAAAGAAAAACTAAAAAAAAACATTAAAAAAATTTGCCGGTAAATTATAAATAAAGTTAAACACACATAACCAAATAATTGTTTATGTTTTAGAGTTTAAGATCATAAAAAAATAAGTTAATATATACTAACTATATAGTTAGTTTAAATAAGTTAACCGTAGTTCAACGACACTTTTATATGCGACAACTCTCTACACTTGTACAATTGTCTGTGGGAACCATTGACAAAAAATATATGTATATAAACTTCTAAAAAAAAATAATAAAATATTTTTTTAATAAAAAAACAAAGAACAACATGGGTGTCAAGTAATCAAAAATTATATAATTTTTATTAAACCGGTTAATCGTTGTTTAAAGCCTGTTATTACAAAATAAGAGAATTTGTAAATTAAATTGTTTATACACACATGTTTACTGTGTATTCTAATTCATTTACTTGCTTGAAAGCAATCTTTAATGAAGTTATTAACTAAATACGTTACAGAATTGATGAGATATTATTGAATTGTCTTTTGGGGTTTTCCAAAAAATACTTTAATCAAGAAAAAAACAGACTCCTAACCTTTGCCTTTGAGAATTTTTAATAATAATAATACGGGCCAACAAAATATCAAAAACCAGAGACCAAATCATATTGTTTGATTTACGTTAAAACCGAATCTGACCTTAGATTCTCAATCACATCAGGATTTTGATTTTTTATAAAGCTATAGTCCGATTTTAATAACATTTGTTAGGAATATTATTCTAAATGAGTCGATTATGACAACAAACTTCTATACCCTATACCATAATAGTGTGGAAGTTATTATGCGTTTGTGCTGAAGTTTGTAACACCCAAAAATTGGTCCTACTCTCACCTTAAAGTATACCAATCACTTTCTGAGCCGATTTAGCTATGTGCGTCGCTTGTGCGCCCATGAAAACCTTATGCACACGATACAGGTCTCAATTTTCAAAATAATTTGATGAAGTTTGGCATTTGGTCCATTATTTCGCAAAGCCCCATACAGCCGTAGCCTCCGAATAGGGGTTTTCAGCTTATAAATATTTAAATTGTATCACTGCAAAGGTCGGTATAACTTAGTTTTATATACATAAGTCTTAATGATACTGCTGGTTTTCGTAATGATCGGGCCTCATTTGATCCTATCCCGCATATAAAGACCCTTTCAGAAAATGACTTGATGATCAAAATTCACTTCTAAGTACTAATATCACAATGATATTTTGCACAAATAACTTTAATGTAGTCTTAAACTAAAATATAGGAAATTTAATTGTCTACACAAAAGTAGAGGCATATGAAGTCATAGGAATCACAACAAGCGAGTATTTTCTAAAACTGATTATTTTAACCTTTGAAACCCAATATCTCGCTTAGCGATCATAGGATTAGTGGTGACCTTTAGCGCCTTAAACGTATCTCTGTGACATTTTTCATTAATAAACTAAAATTCCACAGTTTAGTCACTTGTTCGTCTAGTTTTTTTGAGCAAAAAATTTCTTAAAAACTCGACGTGATGAAGAAAGTAAAATCAAAATTCTGGTGAAAAGCTAAATCTTTCGAAGGGAAATAATATTTTCTGATCAGATACTTTGAGAAGTATTAGTGGAAGAAGAATTATTACATACAACCTTCTTTTATTGTCTGAATTAAAAAAAAGTATTTTGAGGTAACTCAATCGCCTAAAGTTTCTCGCCAGAACAGTATAGTATTGAAATGTATTGATTCAATAAAGCACAGGTATGCATTTCACTGATCTCTCGGCATAACAATGGAGAATGTTTTGCTGAAAATAGGGAACTTGATCTCGATACATATTTACAGATACAGATTTAAAACACTGTAATATTCACACATGACACAAGTGAGAGTTTTATATTTGGCTGTACCGAATTTCATATACCCAGCATCAAACCTTATGCCCTGAAGAATAGCTCCCGTATAAACATCGGGGTGATATTTGGAATATGGCTTAAGTCAATTATGGACCGAACAAAATAGTAGTAAGATTAACGTTCATATAAAAGTTTCTTATGTCGAATTTCATAACTCGTATTTTTAAGCCAATATTGATCGTTTAAGTAATTTTCTGAAGGGGACTTTATATGGGGGGTAGGATCGATCCTCATTAAATTTCGTAGAGAGATTTTTGCTCGTATAAAACTTATACATATGTGTCGAATTTCATCGCTTTACCCGTATTTTTAAGCTAGTAATGAGCGTTAAAGTTATTTTCTGAAGGGGACCTTAGAGGGCGGTAGGGTCAATTATGAGCCGATTTTCATAAAAATCAATAGAGAGGTGTTGCTTAGTAAGAAACTTACTTATGTCAAATTTCATCGTTATACTCGTACTTTTAAGCCAGTAATGAGCGTTAAAATCGTTTCCTGAATCGAACCTTATATGGAATTAGGGTCATTTATGGGCCGATCCTTAAACAAATTGGAGAGAGATTTTGGCTTGCGAAAAACTTACTGTGCTATATTAGTATTTTTAATTTTTATTTTTTTGAAGGGGACCTTATATGGGTGGGAGGGTAATTTATGTTTGCTTACATGAAACTTTATGTCGAATTCATTCTTATACTCGTATTTTTAAAATAGTTATGAACATCAAAGCTGTCCACTTGTATGGGAGCTATACGAAAACGAGGACCGATATTGCCCATTTTCAATACCAAACAAACCTTACTAATAGAGAATATTTATTCAAAATTTCAACTGTCTTGCTCCTCCCGTGTGGTCCCTATCGTGATATCAACAGACAGACAGACGGACATGGCTCGATCGCCTTAGAATCTAACGAGGATACAGAATATATATACTTAGATGAATATTTCGATGTGTTACAAACGGAATGACAAAAACAATATACCACCATCTATTTTGATGGTGGGTATAAAAATACGAGCGTGGTAATGACATATATGACTCCCTATTTATAAGCGAGCGTGGTAAGTAGTCCAACGGAAGATACGTGTTTTAATAATGAGTTTTTAAATTCATTACTTTTTGCTTGATACGTATATCATCCAAAAACTTGGTTAAAGTATTTGAAATCGAGCAAACATTAAATGTTGTGTCCCAGGAAAAACTTAAATTGCAAAGTAATGAGTTAAAATGCTAATAAAACCTCTTTTCACTACTAACACGGTGATGTCATTGGAGGCAATTACTTCCACGCTCGCTTACAAAAAGAGTTAAAGTTAAAGAAATACTTGCAATTTCTCTTACAAAGAAGTTGTTGAATAAGATGTTTTTTTTTATTATTTTAATAATAAAAAGAGCCAGCGGGAATACGAACCAAGGACTTAGATTTGTTAATCAAATGTTCTACTCACTGCACCACTGCTTAGCTACTTTATTGAGTAGTAGTCATTGAAAAATAAGTGGTTGTGTAAGTACAACCCATTAACGAGTTTTTGCTGCGGTAATTTAATGTTTGATCGTTGTGAGGGGTCACCGATATTTCAATATACATTTTGTAATATATAACTAAAAATCCCACTTTCTTGAGAGGTGGGATTTAACCCACAGTCATAATAATACAAACAAACCTGTGGTTTGGCAAAAAAATATATTTCCAATTGATAATAATAAAAGCCAACTTTAGCAAATATGCAAAAAAAAAGAAATCGTTTTTATTTTTCGCATAGAAACCTCAGCATATAATGGAAAAAAATATTATTGGAAAAAACGATTATTTTGAAAAAAACCATGTACATAAATACATGAAATTAAAAATATTCCATTTAGTTTATTTCAAAACCCAAGAAAATTATCGCGTGCCTATGTGTGGAAATAAAAAAAAAACACAAGATTTATAATTAAGTTTTTTTATATATATAATTGTCATTTAATTTTTTGTTTTTTTCAAGATTTTTGTGGTTTGATTATTATGGTTTGTTTGTTGCATTCTTTATAAAAGGTTATAAGTACGTACACACATATAAATGTATATTGTCACACTTATTAATTAAATACAAATTAAATTCTTACAAATAGAGTTATTAACTAAACAATAATAAATTACACGCCATCATTATCATCATCAGTAACTTATATTACAAACTTAAAATCAAATGGAGAACTTAATTATAAAAACACTTATAAAAATATTTTGTTTTATTTTAAACTAATATCACAGTTATTTTTGTTTTTAATAAATGGAATGTATAACTACAGTTAAAAATATAACTAAGTATAGGAACCTGGCTATAAATACACAAATATTTTACAAAAAAATATATATATAAAATAAAAAATAATATAAATTAATACTATTGGTATAAATAATACATATTTGAGAAATATTTAAATATTTAGAGAGAGATTATTTTCTTTGCAGTTCTTTTTTTCTTTTAAATGGGAATGATATTTTAAAGAAAATTTTGTTTTAAAAATGGAATGACTAGATCATATAAAAATGTTTTTGTTTTGTAGGCAAAATAAATAGTTTACATTGTCAGGAAATGTGGGTCATGAAGGGGAATATATGAAGAAGTTTTAGATTTGGGTTATAACTTAAGGTGATTTTTTTCTTATAAACTAACTTAATTTATGGGGTTTTTCTATATAATTACGCTAACCTATGTTTAGTTTTGGAGTTTTTCCTTTTCTTATTACGTTTTGTTTGTTGTTTGTTTAAAGATTTCTCAACTTCATTAAATTGTTGCTGCTGCTGTTGATGTTGTCTTTTAGGTGAGCCATTTTGGAGAGCTATTTGTCCTTTACGTTTATTGAATTTTCTTAAAATTTGCCACATACTTTTCAAATATTCAAAATAGTGGAATTTTACAAATTTCAAATCAATAGAATCGGTTTCAGCCAAAACATTTGCATTGTCCCTGAAACGTTGTTTGGTGCGCAATTTCAAACGTTTATTCATTTCCAAACGGGTAATTTCAGGTATTTGTTTATTACGGGCCGGATAAGTTTTATTAACCGCTGTCTCTAATTCACACAACATAGTGCGAGAAGATTGCAATAGCTGTTCGAGTTCATTAGAAGTTTTGGATTTTCTTTGCGATTTAAAACGATCATATTTGATTTGTATGCGATACAAATAGGCAAAAGAGGCCACATAGGTTTGCATATTACGATACCAACGTTTAAGGGCGATCTAAAAGTAAAAAAGTAAAAAAAATTATATAAATTAAAATATTGTTTTAAAGCAAAATGATTCATTAAAGCAATAATTATGTTAAAGTATAATAATTGACAGGAAATACAACAGTTAAGATAAGATAACTTTATGCTTTAAGCTTTGCAACACACACCCTCTCCCCCCACCGCTTAGGGGAGTAGGGGGGAATATTTGAAATATAAATAACAATTAGAATAGAATTTTGTTAAATAATGCTTAACATTTAAAAACCCATTAAATTAAGTTAAATTATTTAGTTTTCATTTTGAATAATTTCTCTAGTTTGTCTCGAATTTTGATGACTAATCATTTGTTTAGCTAAACATTTGTATTGTAATGGAATGTATTACTAAAAAAATTAACTATTGTCATTATTCAACCATGCTTAACACTTATTTGTTTATTTGTCAGGGCTACAAAGTCCACTTGTGGGAGATTTTTTTTCATTGCATGTCAAATCATCTTCATTGGAATTTCCGCTTCAACTTATACTTTTTTTATTAAAAATTTTTCATTTTTTTTTTTTATATGAAAAGTTTTTATTTGCGATTAAGTTAAGATACTTACACTTGAGTTCATTTTTAATTTGGGCAAAAATTTATAAGTTCCATTGTGCAGCCACCAAATTTCAATATTGCTTATATCAATATCTTGTTGCTCGCTGGTATTTAAATAATTGAAATCATTTAAGGCCGTGAGTCTTAAATTGTTGTAAATCTAGAAAGAAAGTTAAGAAAAGCGGGAAAAGTTAGTTAAAATTTTATAAAAAAGCAGCCTAAAATCTAGCATTAACTTAAAAAGACTTTTATCCAAAAATTTTAAACTATAATTTTTTGTTAAAATCAATTTTTAAACAATTTTGAATATTACTTTATCTTTACATTTTTAGGAAATATTTTGGATTTTTTATTTAAAAACAAAGTTGAAAAATTAAAGAGTAACTATTTCCAAATTCTTAAAACAAAAATATAAACTTAAAAATTTTCAGAAATTTTCAATTCAAAATGGAACTTTTTACAAGTTTTGATTCTAAACTGGAAGACTAAATGGTTCAAATTAATAAATTTTATAAAAGTTTTCTATTTTTAATATCCAAAGGACCCAAATATTCCCTTAACTTACCTTTTTCTGCTCCTTACGAGTGGGTCTCCTCTGCTGCTTAACATTAGGGCGATATTCACCGTTACAAGGATTTGACCACTCCAGCATGGTAGAATTTTCATTATAATTATAAAAATCCGACCAAATACTATGACGTTTACGATGGCGTTTGCGCAAGCGTAAAGTATTTGTTGCTGATGTCGATGATGTTGATGAAGTAGATAAAGCGGCGGTATGTTGTTGCTGTTGTTGTAGTTGTATTAATTGTTGATTTATATCTTTAGCACTGTTTATTACACTATTAGTTAGAGTAGAAGTGGGAGCTGCATCTACATCCATTATCACTAATAGTTTAATGATAATAATCAAATAATTTAGCGAATACATTTGTAGGCTGTATATATATTTTTTTGTTATTATTGTTGGTTTTGTTTATATTTATATAAAATTTGCAACACACGTGACAATATTTGCCAACAACATGTGTTACTTTTAAGTTTAAAATTAAATAATTTTTTTTTTTTTATCAAAATTATTGTTTTGATTTTTTACACTAAAAACTTTAATAATCCAATTGTTTTTGTTTGCTTTTTTTATAAACACTGAGACACACTTTATCTATTTATTATTGTTAATCCCCTGTTTTTAATTGTTTGTTTTATTAATTAACTTTTTTGTGTTATTGTAAAAAATCCGTTAATTTATAGTCCGTTAATAATATTTTTGTTTTTATTAAAAAAAGAACATTTATTTCTTTATATCTTTTAGAAAAGAAAAAAATAATTTAAAATAAAATAAAAAATATTGTGTTGTGAGCACGTCAAAGTTTAAAACTAGACTGAATTGTGTGTTGTATTAATTTTGACTACCTTTCTTCGTTGAGACTTAATTTCTGTTTTTCTTTTTCCATCTGTAGCAGTATCTGCTGCCTGTTAACTGTGTGTAATTCTCCTCCTCTACATACACTTACACTACCTCTACAATACACCAGCAACAACAACAACAATAACAGTAAACATACATACATTAGCCAGTCAAGCAGGCAGGCAGGCAGGCAAGCAAACAGCCAGGCCAATACACATTCTCTCACAAACCTTAACAAACTACTCAAACACAAACAACAACACCAACAATAAGAGCAGAAAAGGCTCTTATTGTTTCCGTTTTTATTGTTCTTGTTGTTGCTATTATGGTCAATGTAAGGCCAGCCATCAGCAACCATACCAACAACAACAACAAGTAAACAAGAATTTTGTATGCACAATGTTTTCTTTTACACTTAAACGTATGAACAATATGAATATTTTCATACTCATACAACGTCGTCCATACTCTAAATAAATACACGCGATGAGCCACAACAACAATCATAACAAAAGCAAATTACAATAAAAACAAATAATACAATCGTCATTGTTAACACGTCACAGTTTGTTTGTGTTTTCATTTAATAGTTTTGAAAATTCTCATTCTCTCTGGGTCGACCAATGGCTGCTAAATTACTCAATTTTCCCCTGAGTGTAAAAGAAAATAAATCTCTTTTGACTCAATTTTTCTTATCTTAAATTTAAATATGTGTCATATACATACATATGTGTGGATGTTTGTACCTAACATACATACTTATGCCCTTTGCTTAAGAATAATACATACATACATATATTTTAAGCTCTTAATTAGTGTTTTTATATGCAGATTTTTTATTATTGTCCCCTTTTACCTGTGTATGCGCGATCCTTTTTTGAGTGTTTGTAAAAGATCCATCTTTTTTATGATATTTTACCTGCATCTGAATTTGGTTTAAAGTTTTATTGTAGGTGTGATTGTGTTTATGACTTTCAAAACACACCGGTCTTTTTTTTGCGCTAATACATATATTTTTTATTACCGTCACATGTGTGTTTTATTGGATGGATTTTGCTAGTTATGGCAATATTTTGCAAAAGATTAGCACACATTCGCATATACAATACATTTTTTTCTTAGCGTTTTAAATCTCTAGGATTAATTTTTAACTTTTTGCAAATTAAGATAAATTGCAAACAGTTTATGTTGAAGTTATGTTGAGGAATGAATGAATTTATTTGTAGGATTTCCTTATTAGCGGCATTATTTTCGGGTTTTGAAAAAATAAATGCATAATTATTATAAATTTATCAATGTCATAGGAATTTCATCATATTAAGGAAATACTTTTTCGGGAGTTAATAATTTGTGTTTTATATCTAAAGAATTTAATGTTCTAGCATTTGGCGCCGTTTGTAGTAAAAAAACAAAGTCAAAGTAGCGATACAATTTTTTATATCATCAATTATAAACCAAAGGTTTAAATTTATTATTTAGTTTTAAAAACTTTTTATCTTTTTGTGCTAAAAACGATTTCTGATCATCATACCCTACTTCACTATAGTGTTGAGGGTATTATGCGTTTTTGCTGATGATTGTAACAACCAAAACTATTGGTCCTACACCCACCTAAAAGTATGTCAATCGGCTCAGAATCACTATTTGACTCGATTTGTCTATGTCCGTCCGTCTATTTTTTGTCAACAAATTATTATAATATTTCAGATTTAAGGTAAAAAACAAATTAAATTCTTTATTACTAAAAAACCCCATTTTAAACAAACACACTGGTGTAGGGTATCATATGGTCGGCCATGTCCGACTTCTTACTTGTTTTTAATTACAAAAATTATACATTGTGAATCTTATACGAAATAAAATCAGAAGCAAATTGGTGTTTCTTACAGAAAATGTGGAATTTAATTACATAGGATGTCATTCTTTCATGTCGTATAATAATTTATCAAATAGCTTCTTCTATCTGTCCAAAGATATGTTGATTATTCACATTAAAGATGAAAAAGTTTGAAGGGATCAAATTGCTGATTCAAGGCGAACTAAGTATAACAAAATCAATATAATTCAAAATATGTTTAATGCAAAAAATCTGACATGATCGGATCATAGCTTATCCTAAAGAAGCCATAAGACGAGAGTAAAACATTAGCTGACTGACTGCTTCTGTTTGTGTGAGAAAATAAGAGAACTATTTTAGATTAGATTGAAGGGGCACAAAGCTCTGCGACCTATGTGTGGATGTTTTCTGCAGCCCATTGGTTCACCATAAAAGTTTTAGTTCACGCGCGAAGGTAACTGGTTTAGTTGGTGAGAGGTTGAAGATGTCTTTTGGGGTTAGTAAGGCAGCACCCAAGATCTTCGCTTTGCGAGACCCTAATGTTTGGCAATTACATAAGATATGTTCTGATGTTTCATCTTCTGCATAGATTCGCTGAAGAGTTGCCTAGAATGAATTGATGGTATCTGAGACCACAATGTCCTGTAAGTAATCTCGTTAGTACTACAAGATCGCTTTTATTTAGCGTTAGTAGCTTTTGGAATTTTCCCTTTGACAGTGTAATGAAACGTTTTGTTTGTCTGAGCCTTGGTATTGCTTCCCAATGGCAAATAAATTCAGATTTCACCCAAGAGTCACATTTAGCTTTGGCGTATCCTCGAGGAATGCCAAAAAAGGGCTCAGGGCCGATTAGTTGGCGACGAGCGAACCTATTTGCCAGGCAGTCTGCTCTTTCATTGCCCGAGTGACCTTACCTCATATGACAATAAGGCCTTGAGTGATGCTTAGCTATCGGACATTATAAAAATTCTTAATCCCTTAGTTCTTCTTCTAACGCACTCCCTAGCAATAAAGATGACATATATTTCTACTTGAAATATTGAAGGATAGTGTCCAAGGTGGATGGCCTTTTGGAAATTGAGGCCATAAATGCCCGCTTCAGTTTCGCCGTTTATTTGTTTGGACCCTTCTGTGAACCAAACTTGATCAGCTTTATCTTGCCACCAAGTTTAATCAGTCCATAATTCGGTATAACAACCTCAAAAGATCTATCGAAAATCATAGTTGGTGACCCACAGTCGGGAATTCTAATGGGTCATTTATGAATAGTTTGAGTATACTCATATGTGCAAGAGAACTATTTGCTTATAAATGTTCTAAACAGAGAGAGGAAAAAGTTTCTCGTATGAGCGCTCTTGCTTTCACATGCTTGTAAGTTTACACCAAACTAGCCATAGAGAGATATCAGGGTTAAACACTGAATTAATTAGTCTTCTTCACTCTGCACATCATTATTGAATGATGGTGAAGATCGGTTCTCAATTAAACCAAATTTTATTAAAATCTCTCAAATCCCTATTGCATTTATCTTCATCTCCAAAAGCTGTTCCTTGTAACAGCAGCATTCAACTGAAAGCAAGCATCGACTGGCAGCTTCTGACAGGGTTCATATAAGTACATATGTGCATATAAAATCGATTTCATGCCCACAAATCTCTTACAAATGGGGAAAAGTTTTATAAAATTCGATTCGTATTTTATTTAGAGAAATTTCAATTATGATCGGTTCTCAATTGATCGTAATTTTATGCAAATCTCTCAGATGGACAATTTCGAGAGTGTTGGTGTTTTACTGGTACTAATTCAGTGAGAAATAAATAAAATTTTGCATAAATATCAAATGAATGGACAATATTTATGTACTATTCTTAATTTCTTATACATAGTTTTACCAAAATATTTAAATTGTTAATTCCGTAGATGTACATAGGAATTAAAAATAATTAGTTCCATTCAAACTCATTCAAGAGAACAGCATTATATCAAGATATATAAACTATGATATCCAAATAGTTAAACATCATATACTATTTTAAGATTATTTATAAGATGTTCGTTCGACTTAATGTTAAGAAAATTGTTTAATAATTTTGTTTATAAATAGTTTTATATTAATTCAATAATTCATTTCAATTTAGTTTTAATTATTAAATCATTTCTTCTGTATTATAGTCGTACGATCTTTCTATATTACTTTTGTTTGATATTTTGTAATATTGTGGTTTGTAGTCAATTCAGTTTTAAATGACGAGTACATTATGAAATAATATAACATTATGAAATTGTTAACAGCTTTATTATTTTAAAAATATTAATATATTTAAATTTATGCAATTTTTACTTAAAACTTTGGATTTTAATACTGAGGAAATAATTATATGGTCTCAAGCAATAACATAGGTTATGACGAAAATCATCGAATTTTACCTTGGTTCCAGCCCGATCATTATGAAATTGAACAAGGTCCACAAAGCTTTTAAAGGAAATGGTCTAAGCTTTCTTCTGAGAAGTGGGGAGTGTTTTTTGTTCAATTATGGACCGATCCTCATCAAATTTTCTAGAACGATTTTAGTTTAGGCTAGTAATTAGCGTTAAAGCCATTTTCTGAAGGGGACCTTATATGGGGGATAGGGTCAATTATGTACCGATCCTTATAAAATTGTACAATTATATTAAGGTTTGTATA